GAAAACTCGTATCCGAGTTATATTAGAAAAACGGCAATGGCACAACGAAAACGTTCATGTGACAAAAGAAAACCCGTGTTGTGTGATCAAGAAACATGAAGAAACACCTGTTCGCAAAGAATGTAACAGTCTCGGCGACTAACAAAAAACAAACAAATGAAAAAACCCTCGRAATAAAGACGTATGTCCATCAGTAAATAAGGGCAGAACATAAAAAACACGTATAGRAAACTAGAGATCTCGTTGTAGCTTATATAGTTCTGTATTAAGGAATTATAGAAACGATWGTCTGTTAATCTGTCTTATGTCATTTTAATGATTAAAAAATCCTTAAAAATCCTTATTGTTATTGTTAATCTTAATCGAACGTAGATGCTTCAACTTCAAAGACAGGTGTGCAGGCTTTGGAATTATCGAAAAGGATTATGGGTGCAAAATTTAAGCTTGCGACAAATCATGTGATAAAGCATGGAGCCCAATTCCTGCAATGTATGGAATCATGTGAATACCTTAGAGTAAATGATTTATATTTTAAAACTAAATGCAACACGAAAATATTTTGAATTTACAGATGATAAGAATACTCTACATACTTATTTATCTGCTCAGTAATGCGACATTGAGCTGTCAATCTTTCACGGTTATACCCAACATAACTGAAGTAATGGTGAAATAAAATAATAAAAAGTAGAATCCATAACATTGTTACATTGCTGCAGCATTTTGAAATGAAGGCTAGAATCATCGACCGTTTTGTGATCATTAAAATGATTTGGTATTGAGTACGTTGACTAGGAGTGAAAGTGTCCGGACAGCTTTGACTTCATTGAATAAAGTCGAAAGAGCTTGACAACTCATTATCATCGTCTTCCAGGGACTTTTAATTACAAAGCTAATTAACTTGCTACCACAGTGATATCATCAAAATAAAATGTAAAACGAAGGCACTTGTGATTTGAGATTTTGAAGACTTACGCGAAAAGTTCAGTTCCCTGGCAGCATTCGCATTCATTTTTCGCGTCGATTTTCCTATAAACGAGAGCATTTTACAAGCTAAATTATAGGTTACCCTTTGGTGCGTTATTTAACCTCACCTAATTGTGAACTTGTGACGGCTCACGATTTTTCCAATAAGTATTTAATTAAAGCAATAAGCAAAAGCTTTAAGCGGTTTAGTGGCGAAAGAAACCGCGCGAATTGGTTGGGAGNAAGGCTTCATTAGATATACGAACTTTGAAACAGTGTTTTAAAAAATGTTTTCATGAACGCCATCTGGGAATATGGTTATTCCCTATCTGAAGCGACTCCTTTAAAGTACGTATACCTAAAAAAGACTTCTTTGACGTCATTTTCATTAACATATTGTAAGATTGAACTTCATAACTCAAAGACGCAACACTGAAATGCAGGAATATTTCACCATTCAATTATTTACTTTATATAGAATCAGCTCACAGAGAATCAGAAATTATTGTGTCATGCGTCAGTTTAACATTTCTTTTATTTTTACCAAGTTTCAGGGGATATTCAAGTGAAGCCATTCTTCACACATTCTGCTTTAATGATGGTGGTTGTCATCATGAAGAAACTCTTGTGAGATGTTTTTAGTGTTCTACGGATTCATGTTAATTATAGATAAAGTATGCAGCAATAAAATACATTGCTTTAAAAATTATTAGTTTAGATAGAAGGAAGGCAATTGATGTCATTAAATTTATAAGATAAGAAATAACTGCTTTTATTAATAAATATATGACAGAACACAGATATCCTGTATTAAAGGCAAGAGAACAATCCTCTTAGTTTCTATAGGGATCTAATATGAAATTTAAATTCACCAAAATACCATCAAATATATATGCCAAAATTGGTATCAACACAAATCTTCTTCTTCGCACTTCGCGGGAAACGTCGAATCGAGGCGACCGGAAAAACATACAGCATTCTGTGAGGCTTTCAAAACTACCTTCTACAGCCCCCTTCGAGAAATATAGATTAGTTACCAGTCCCCTAGATGAATGCTCACGTCCAAGATGACGACGGTGGTTCAATTCATCGAATGAGCGATTTTGAGTCAGAAAATGTCAGGCGCCTTGTATAGCTTGTAGTTAGCGTATTATGCGAGCTTTACTGAACTTTACAGGACAATTCCTAACGAAAGTGGTTTACAAACCAGGCAGATATTAACTAGGATTCAACGGAACACAATAAAAGACCTCTAGAACGTTCCACATTTTCCTTCTTGATGATATTTAGCAATTATTCGCCGAGCGCGAAGTGATTGTCAATCACTTCAAAAACGTTTTTAGGTCAAACTAGTTGACTAAGCAAAGTCTACAAACACTGCAAGTATCTAGCATTTTCTATTTTTAATGTAGTCAAGATTATCTGCCAATACAAAAAGTTTCACCCCAAACATTGGAAAAAGTGAATTGTGAAGAAAGAGTTTGTTGGATGTTTAGCTGTTTCGCTCGGTCCAGTAACCACACTAAATTAATCATAGTTTGGTAATAATTTAGTTAAATTTAGTAAAAAATAGTCTTTTGTAAGTATTGCACGGATATATTGCTTGCTTGCACTCTGATTCTAATATAAAGTAAATAATTTAATGGTGAAATATTCCTTAATTTCAGTGTTGCGCCTCAGAGTTTTGAAGGTTTAATCTTACAATATGCTAATGATAACGACTGTTTCTCAAAAATATTTTATGAACGCCATCTGGGAATGTGGTTATTCCCTACCTTGCCTACGATAAATTTGATATTACGAAACCATTTTTAAGCGACTCCTTCAATCCTATCTATCAAAGCCTTCTTGACGTCATTTTTATTAGCATATTGTAAGATTGAACCTTCATAACCCTGAAATTAAGGCATATTCACCATTAAATAGGCAATGTGCGGCGGCGCCATTTTGTGCAGCAAAGCATGATGGTAGTTGTAGTCCTCGTTCTTTTCGCAGCCCCTAAAATATCTCCTTTAAAGCCGTTTTTATATTTTCTTTTAGAAACGGCACAAATACTTCTATGTTCGCTTAGATAGAGCAAAAACTGGTTAGCAGGACTGTTTTAGCCGATATAAAAACGTGCTAGTACTACAACTAACATCATCCTTTACTGCACAAAATGGCGTCACCGCACATTGCCTATTACTTATTTTATATAGAATCAGCTTACAGAGAATCAAAAATTATTGTGTCATTATTGTTCTTTTACTTTTACAATGTTTCAGGGGATATTCAATTGAAGCCCTTCTTCAGGCATTTTGCTTTAATGATGGTGGTTGTCATCCAATGACCGATTTTGAGTCAGAAAATGTCAGACGTGTATAGCTTGTAGTTAGCGCAAAATACCAGCTTTACTAACTTTTACTTCGGATAGTGTGTAGCTCTCTTACTTTGTTAAACACTTCTTTTTTATTGTACACACTCTTTATCAATCGTTCATCCACAATTTCTTGCTGACCTCCCTGCGTAAGCGGGCGCTCTCCTATAAAACGATCGAAAAAAAAAATATGGGAGCAAGAATTAAAGGTCGCCACACACCACGTGATGTAGTGTTTTGAATGAATTCGACAACAAAGTAGATGATATCTAAGATTAGAGATAAATTTATTAAGCAAAATAGCATTCACGATTTTATTGCGGAGGAGGATTTGTTTCTAAAATTAATAGATCCTCCAGATAAATTACAAACGCAAGCAGCAAAGAATATTTAACTCGGCTTCATTATTTAATAAACTACCACCTAATCTAAAGAGTGAGAAAAATTTGAAAATTTTTACAAAACGACTTCAACAATTTTTCTTAATGGATAATGCCAAGGACCGTCTCGAACTCAATTGACACTTAATTCTTATTATTTTCAGTTAATTATTATTACTATCATTATAATGAGAGAGTGTTGTGTGTGTGAATGAATGTGTATACATATTATATTCAATATTTTTTTTCAAAGCATGTTATATATTTCATATTTTATATTATAGTTTAGTATACAGTTTGCAAAAATTATGAGAATTGTCTAAATATCTAAATATCATAATATCAATTGCATGATGGGTAATCCCACGCGATTCCCGTTTGTCCTTTGTCTTTGTAGTTTAGTTTTTTTCGGCGGTGACGGACTTATCCGTAGTTCTGAACATTTTCTTGATGTCAACAATGAATTATTCTAGCAAACCCTCGTGTTCTGGACAATATATGGATATGGATATTATGATATTTACATATTTAGACAATTCTCATATTTTTTTCAAAAGGCTGTATCATGTTATATAGTTTATATTGGTTATATATAATAATGCAAAATGGCGGCCAACCGGAAGTGACGTAATACCATCGTTAATTGCTTCAAAATGGCGCCCAACCGGAAGTGGCGCAATAAGACCACATAACGGTCGAGCTAGGGTGCCACTCGCGCGCCATAGGAAGTGACAGAGGTTTCCATTTTTTTATTGTTTTATTTTTATCTTTTTTACACGATCATGGTGAAAGGGAGTGACAAGGATTAATCCGATTCTGATTCGGTTAGGGCATTTTGATCGACGAGGTCTAAATGAGGTCTATGCAAAGCATTGATACGAAGGAGAGCTTTGTTCACTTGTAACGTTTTGCAAATGGATTTTCGAGAATTCCATGCTTTTCACTGCATGGACGATGGTTAAAAAAAGATTACCGCGGAGAAAGCGTTCATCTCAGTTCGATGATTAATAATTCACCGCGAAATATTTGTTCAGGTTGGAAAGTCTTTATAAGCTGTCAGGTATAATGTCAACACATGTCTAAAATCGAGACCACGCAGCACAAAAAATTGAAAATTGTTTTCATTGATAATTTTAACATATACTTTTTTCACCTGCTTTATAAAGATATTTTATTGTTTTTTTTTTCATAAAGAATTTTTTATGGTTCTTTTATTCTTTTTTCCCTGTTTTTATAAGGATTTTTTTTATTGCTTTTGTTGCTGTTGTTGTTGTTTTTTTTTTTATATATATAAAGAAATTGTATGGTTCTTTTTTTCTCTCTTGATGCAGTATAATGATTAAAACGATAGACAAAAATCTATACGCTGAAGTCGCCTTTATTAACATTTTAGCTGTTTTGCGAAAGGACAAAACAGCCGATATATTTGCTCAGGCGACTTTTGTTAAGCTGTCGGGTATAAGTCTTTTTCCCTGTTTTATAACGATTTTTTATTGTTCCTTTTCCCTTATTTAGCATAATGGTTAATAACGACTCTCTTTTTCAGCTAAAATATCACCATGACCATAGTTTGCTTTCTATTTAACCCTTTTTTTCTGATTAGTGATTTCGTTTTTATTTTCCTTTCCGCTTTAAAAGAAATTAACATATTTAGTTTGCATTGATACAAAAAATAATAGCTGTTTTTTTGAAACGAGATTTCAGAATGAATATGTCCTTAGACTATGGATGGCGTAGTTTTTTTACACGGTGAAATCTCGTTCAAAGTTTCGCGTACAGAGGTTAGATAAGTGGATCTGTAATATTTGAATATGCGTCGGTACACTCGCCGATCGGATAGAGAAAGGTCATGACCATATCAGCCATTGTATTCTAAAAAATAATTTAAAAAAATGGTCTTATTCGTATTCTTATTCTTATTATAATTTATCATAATGGAGATGTTCATTAACAATGCAATTCATCCATTTTTTCTTTTGCGGTGTCTTTTATACTCCATCGATAGTACTCCATCGATATACTCCATCGATAATTCTTAACCACGTCATACGTCGTTGAATGGTAACAAACTGTTTACACCCGATTTCAAATGAGTGCGAACTCTCGAATTTTTTTTGAACGCTAAACTTTCACTCGACCGTCATTCACTCGACCGCTTGGTAACCAGGCACACGTGTTTWGTAAGTGATGCGTGACTTTCTGTAGCGGAACTTTCGGATTTAGACTTATGGAGGAAGCGGTGGTCTTTGTTCGAGATATCTGTGGTCCTTGTGTTTCCCAGAACATTCTACTTCACTCMATGCAATTGAGAACAATTAGAAGAATATCAACTAAACTTGATTAAAAAATATTTTATTTTCTATCTGATTTGTAGTTTAAATTTGGGTTTATTAACTTGTAAACATCAAATGCATGCAAATAATACTTTGCACAATAGCTTTACAAGAACCATGAACTTGAGGGTGTTGTTTTCTTCTRCATCYTGAAAAGATGTTCTTATGTTGAACTAAACTATACACATTTTTCTTTTCTTTCGTTATGTAAACAATTTAAGTTTACAATAAAAAAATTATCAAGCAAGCGAAAAAATAATTACAACATTGTTGTTTAAATTAAAGGTTGCAAACGAAGTAGCTTATGTTTAAATGTAACCTTTCGAAGAAGTAAATATATTCTTATTCGTATTACTGTAAAAACCCTGATTGATTGAATACAAGTTTACAATGACACTTACATGTGTATGTACAGCAACATTTCCTGTGCGTTTATAAAGTTGTCGAATTTTACAAACAAAAGTTTTCCCTACTAATAACGCTCTACAAGTTTCCTTATTGCTTGARCCGTAAATAAGTTCATGGTAAATAACYCTCCACCGAATATCGTCCGATAACCTCTTCATTTTAATCAGTAAACTAGTAAAATCAACAAAGAACAGCCTACGAACACTAAAAACGATTTAAAGTGCGCGCGCTTGTCAGTGTTTGTCACGCTATTTATTTTTTAACAGTTTCGTTGTAATTGTGAGCTGAGAAAATTAAGTAAACCGAAAATAGTTTTTACAATAACTTCGTTTTGTAGTGCGATCACAAACCGTAGGAATTTAGCCCACAGACATACATTAACCATGGTTTTTATACTTGGATAATTTTACCCGCTTTAAGCTGTGCCAGGTTACCAAGTGGTCGAGTGAATGACGGTCGAGTGAAAGTTTAGCGTCCGAAAAAAAATTCGAGAGGTCGCACTCATTTGAAATCGGGTGTAAAGCTTTTGGATTTGAGATCATCTTTGATGTGTCGCATAGTTAAGTTAGCCATGAGTCTTATCAAACTAAGGAAACGATCAAACGTTTCTCTCGTAACAGTATGGACAGGATAAGAAACTGGTGAAGGTGTGTTGTAAAATAAAGTTCCCATTTTACCTTTTTGGGTAATTTGACTTTGTTCTTGTAACTGAGGAACTTTGATAAAACAAAATGGATTCTAGAAGGGGAAAAAAGTGTGAGTGGGGAGAAAAAGATAAAGTAAAAGACCTGGGAGGAGTGAATGCGTACCTGATGATTCTGTGAAAGGAGGAAGGTCTTGTTGTGACCACAGGTAGTTTGCAAATGACAGTTTTACCTTGGTGGAGTGCTTCGTTTCTTGTGAGGAACTTTGTCTTTGATAAACCAAAAAATATAAAATAAAAATAACAAAAAAATGAAAAATGAACCCAAGAGAAAATCGAACAAAGCATGGCTTGGCCGCCTGAGTCAATACTTACAAAATTGGCTCCAAGAGAAACAAAGCCGAGTAAGGCCGACTGAGTCAATACTTTAAAATTGGATCCGAGAGAAACAAAGCCAAGTGGGCCGGCTGAGTCAATTTTTATTGTTCGTTTTCTCTCTAGATACAGTATCATGGTTACAACGCTAGTACAAAAAAGCAAAAAAAAAAAAGAAACGCTCGAGTCGACTTAAACATTTTAGCTGCTTTTGAGAAACGATATTTGTACAGGATGGGAAGTTTTGTTAAACTGTCAGGTATAAGTCAACACACTTCTAAAATCGAGCTCACGCGCAATATTAATGTATTATCCATATTTGGAGAAGGTAGGTACAAAAGAGTGCGCATATTTCCCTTCTGCAGTCAACAAATCAAAATGTCGAACATAATAGTTGTGGCTGACGGTTTTCAACACGGAAAGGGTGATTTCTTTGTGCGCCAAGCGACCTCTTATTGCAGGTCTCATAATCTGTATTCTACATGGCTGTTCAAAGTCGTGGGCCCAGAGGGTCCTGAAGCCTTAACCACTTACTTTCACCAAATCACGCTGCACGGTCTACGGTGGGACGGCGCCGGAGAAGATCAAGAAACTTTACCAATTGTTTAGCGAGAATTTCTCCAGAAATTACATAATAAAGGAGGCGGTGCTGCAAAGGTTTTTAGCAAAGGTCAGGATATTTGCAAGAGGTTAACAGAACTGTTAGGATACAACGTTAGAGACCTGGGAAATATCACTCCTATTGATAGTGTTAGGGATATGACGCAACAGAAAAACGTAGCGGGAGCGGCAGATTGCATCGAATGAATATAAAAGGTTGTATAAAGGAACTCAATATTATTGACTTTTTGATAAAGCTGTTGAATGTTTAAAGATCTGAGATCATCTTTGATGTATCGCATAGTTAAGTTAACCATGAGTCTTATAAAACTATGGAAGCGATCAAACACTTCTCTGGTAGCAGTATCGATAGGATAAGAAAATGGTGAAAATGTTGTAGAATAAAGTTCTTGGAGTAAGTTGACCTTGTTCTTGCAACTGAGGAACTTTGATAAAACAAAATGGATTCTAGAGGGAAAAAGTGTGAGTGGGGAGAAAAAATAAAGTAAAAGACGTTTAGAGGACGGACTACGTACCTGATGATTCCGTGAAAGGAGAAAGGTTTTGTCGTGACCACACATACCATGCACGATATATTTCGATGCGCATGGCATACATTTTTTGTGACGCATCACAGGTCACATGGGTGTCAATAGACATGCCATGCAGTCATTTCTGCGATACCTTTTTAGAATATAAATGATCAACATTGGGTCATAACTTCTACACAGCGCAACACGGCGTCACAGGTCGTTGCACTGCGTTACAATGCGTAACACGGCGTAACAGGTCGTTGCACTGCGTTACAATGCGTAACACGGCGTAACAGGTCGTTACAATGCGTAACAGATCGTTACACAGTGTAACAGGTCGTTACATTGCGTTACAATGCGTAACACGGCGTAATAGGTCGTTACAATGCGTAACAGATCGTTACATAGCGTAACAGGTCGTTACACTGCGTTACAATGCGTAACACGGCGTAATAGGTCGTTACAATGCGTAACAGATCGTTACATAGCGTAACAGGTCGTTACACTGCGTTACAATGCGTAACACGGCGT